CTTTCGTAAATAGCCTAAAAAGATTAGTTGTCCTTTCGTCACGAAATTCTTTTTTTGTCAAAGGCAAGAAATGTGTAGCTGACAAGAGACAAAAATACCTTTTACGTTTTTCGTCGCAAATCTAATAAACAAAAAAACATTCCGAATTTATTTTCTACACCGGATTGATATATGCTTTCAGATATCGCAGATGCTCAAAAGTATTGCTGTCTGCTACAAAAGAAAAGACAATATCATAACCTAAGAAAAAAATTGATTGATTATAAGCAAACCATGTAACTTAAGTTTGTCATGAAGTAAAAAACAACGATTCTCAAAATATCGATTTCAAATCGTCTCCATTTTTTAACACGACGACGACACGTCATGACACATGAATAAATGATTTAAAAGTTCTCTGTTTTGCATTAAATTTTTTTATCAAAGCAATCTTTACCACAAAGAGATTTTCTTTAGTATTATGCTTGAAACGTTTGCAAATGTTGGGTGGGAAAAAACGGACTTACAAGTAATGAGAGTAAAAAAAATTGTCAGCCTACAAAGCTTGCACTAAAAATCTACATGAAAAAAATCTGCGGCATTGCTTCAGAGTTAAACCGCAAAAAAAAAAAACATAATCTACTTTTAGACGTACACTCCATTGTAAAATGGTTGCCTAATTTTTAGCGCAGAGTTTAAACAACAGCGTAAATTCTACACATAGAACTCATCAAAAGTGCTAAAAAACATGGCTTCACTGTTTCAAAACATATTCTTACGAAAAACAAACAATCGATGATTCAAATTTGCGTGATTTTCCAAGAAACCAAATTCCAAAAATGGTCATGCAGCTGGCAATTGTCGAAAAAATTATCAAAAATTCGCGGTAAAAGAAATTAATAGAAATATGCTACAATGAAGTACCAGTGACTTGCTAGTGAAAGAGTATAAAAACAAAATATTTGCGGAAGCCGAAGTCAAACGAGTTAAGCCGTTATATTCCAACCGACAAGACAAATTCCTTTAAATAAATTGTGAGTAAATCTCCTAAGATTTGTAATAGACGTACAAATAAATTCGTTTCGTTTTATGGTAAAACTTAACTTTATTTAAAGTGCACTTGTTACAAAGCTTAATAAACGAAAGATGCACCATCATTGTCTACGATCTTTTGCCATTTATCGGGTAGCTTAGGGATGGCTTTGCGATAGAACCTTCTTACTTTATAATTTCAGCAGCGTCAAGTGCATACTTTTCTAGGTTAAAGCAGAACAACAAGTCTTGCACTTACACTTCGATACACACTGACTGACAACTTATAAGCAACGGAAACTTGCAACCTTCAACCATCAATGGCTACGTTGTGTATTCTTGAAATTTTGCGAAAATTGCACGCGACAGGTAGGTTTTATGAAGCAACCAATTTCGGAGGAACGAATTTTTTTATACACATATTAAATAGAACCTACATTAACCTGCAAAATTAGCGGTAAAATCCCACAGGGTACAGTTTACGTTACAATTTGAGGGCCCTAATTACAAAGGCCAAAAAAAAAAAAAAAAAATAGGAACTCTCTTAAGTAAATTCTGTCCTTCCTAATAATAAACGAAAATTAATTAAATAAAATTAAAAATGAAACATAATTCACTAAATAGATTATTAATATTTAATATTTTCTGGCTTTGGTTCCTTTTTAAGATTTATTTAATAAGTCAGATTTTTCTTTACCTTAATTTACGTTTTTTTTTTTCTCTAGTGTTTTTATACCTTCTGCGAATCTTCTGCTTTCCTTCGGTCTTTCTTTCATCATAACACCTGCTTTTCGTTTATTGTTTGCATAATTCTTCTCATCCATAAAGCAAACATTTGGCATCATTTACATTTTCTTGATAAGCTAAAATGAACTATTTGTACAAGGACTCCTACATCCAGAGAGAATCAGGCAAAAACTACTACGTTCTGCTAATCTATTTCATTAAGGAAATATCTTATTGCTCCATTCAACAACGAATATGTGCAGATAAATTGTATATATATATATATATATATATCTTGCTTCAAGTAAAATAAGCAAAGCAAGCAAAGCTAATGACTAGTTGTCATAGGATACTGGCGCGTTCCTAGGCCATGACGCTCAAATCCAAATAATGAAGTTTCAGTTTAACCATGTCTTCTATTTATGTCTTTGAATCGCTTTCTTTTGTACATCAGTGCATCTTTACAATTTCCTTACGTTGACATTTGCGACTAGAGCTAAATAGACTGAATTATCCGATATTAACCATCATTTTGTCTTACATTTCTTATTTATTAGACTGAGCCTTAATATGATCATTAATATTTTGTATAAGCTGTTTTATATCAGATCTAAAATGCAAGTTCGTTAATATGCTGCTCAAGTATTTCCTATAGATATTGTAGTCTCTTGGTTGTTTTATTGCTTTTAATAAGCAACTCGCATCATCTTGTTGGCATATGTAATGAACCATAAATTATCTTACGGAAATGAGAAATGGAAATGCACTTGTTTATGCTTGATTCCTCTCAAAGCAAATTCTCTAAGAGATATCGACTCTGTTCAGCAGCTCCATCATGATCCCCTATAAAGCCGATCTATTAATCATAGCTAAATATGCTTTTTGTAATTTTTTCTTGCGCCAGGATAGGTAGAGATGAAATTGCATAAGTCGAATCATTTTCTTACCCTAATTAAAAAAAAGTAATAACAGTACAGTGTGGCACGGCCCTACATCATCCTACAGTTATCGACATTTCGACTTTTCCAAATAAGGCGTTATGTAGAAAGTGATCGAAAAAGTGATCCGATCCGAAACATTTTCGGATTCTTCTTTGGACTAAAACCTGTTCGTATATTAAATATGTTCAAGATAACTGAAAAATTGGTGTTTGTAGGAAGAAAGCAAGACAGACGGACGGACAGAGGGACAAACAAATTTAGCGATCGATATAATGAAAGGTGAGCCTATCTCAAGTCCTTCTGAATGTTGCATACATCCGCATAAACTTAATATACCCTCATACCACAAACTTTTTAAGCTATAAAGACAATTTTACGAAAGCGTCTGTGGCGCTTTTTTAGATAATATTAGTAATAAGTCACCATCGCGGAGATAGCAAGATGCGATAAATTTTTAAATATTTCTTTGCTCTAAATCTGTAGAACATCTCACATGGTTATTTTTAGGAGTCTATGCTCTATGAAACATATAATCGATTAGTTAGGTTTGTCCAGCTCCCCGAAAAGGACTTTTCTTAATAATAAACAAACCAAGTTAGAAAGCAATCTTTACGAAAGGTTAGTTCACTTCGAAAAGCGTAAGACCAGCAGTCGAGGCGAACATTTTGGCGTAATAATGTGCTTTAAAAAAAAAGAAGTTAAATAAAAACTCCTTAGAGCTTGTAGAGTAAAGTCTTTTCACATTATCAGCAAAGCTTTGATCTACAAATTAAAACAGGATTACCTATCTCTACGCCGAACATAGCCCTATGGTCTTCTTTTTCTTCAGTAGTCGCTAATGCATAGATCAAATCTGGTCACCTGATAATTTGTCAATGGAGGCAAATGCTTAATGGATAATGATTGCATGCGAATATCATCTTCTTAAGTATCCGCCCAATGTTTTTATAAATACATTGACGTACGCTTATACAAATATATATTTATACGTGTACATCAACAATATATTTACGTATTTTATACACTTGGCATTCATTACTGATAACATCCATTACTATAGTATAAAGTAATACAAAAATTCAAAATAAAAAAAAGAAACAAACGCCACCAGAGAATGGAGCGAGGGTGAGAGATTTCCTTTAGCGAACACAAACAAGTCTATAAGTGTTTATTATCAGTTTATTAAGAAACGAAATGCGAACAAAAATCAACACCAACAACAAATAAAGAGTACTAGCTAGAGAGTGAGACGTAACGAGCACAAGAAGCAAAATAAAGAAAAAATAAATAATACAAGAATAAACCAACAACAACACGATCACAGTAACATAAGTACAACAAATACAATACTTTTGTTTTTAATGAGTTTTAATGACATTTGACGGTTATTTTAATATAAAACAAAAACAAAAACAAGAAAGAAAATAAAAATGCTCTCTTGAAGCTAAAAACTGCTATGCGAATGAATATGAATATGAATTGTGTGTCATGATTGTTGTTGTTCTTAGTAACGTTTAAACGACCTAGCAAACGCGTCTCGCTTAAGTTAAAAATAAACTTGGCTTTATTTTTCCAAAAGCATTGAACTATTAGCACAAAAACAATGTTTCAATAAAGTGCCCACCTTATCGAATACTAAATGTAGTGTAAAGCGGAAAAAAAGTTGAAAACTTATAAAAATCTAATCTTTAACAAAAAAAAAAAAAAAAAAAAAAAAAAAAAAAAAAAAAAAAAAAAAAAACAATAATAATAATAATAAATAAAATTTCAAATTCAAAACAAATACTTATGTTAAGTGTAATGGCCGCCGGTACTAAGAGTGGTTCCTCGAAACAATGCTGGCCATCTGATCACATTATTGCCTCAACTTATGATAATGTTTGCGTTTTAGTGAACTATCAACGTCTTCATCATTCGCAAGATAATATTCATAAACAATTTAAACATGAAACAAACGAGACGAATAGCAGCAGAGTCTTGGCGGATACTTCCGCAAACATTACAATCAACGCAAGAGCTAATCGCCAACATAAACGTGCAATGCGACCCGTATCCGCATATGAGCCAAACGATCATGTATGCTTTCAGTTTTTTGCTTAAATAAAAACAATTATATTTTTAAATTATTTCTTTTTTGTGTTTTTCTTTCTTTATTATAAAAATTTTTAATTGTTTTTATTTCGACAAAAACAAAAAAAAAAAAAACGCTATAAAAGTGTGTGTTATTATTTATTTTGACCATAAACACTTTTTATATTTTTGATGTATTATAATAAAGCTTGGTTTTTTTTTTTTTTTTTTTTTTTTTTGTGTACTTTACAGAAAAACAAAGAATTGATGAATGATATTATCAACAGCTGCAAATTGAAAAACGGTAAGCATAGCTAAAGCTAATCGCATAAAAAACAAAAACTCGTTTCGACACCACAACTCTATTTCAATCTTCTCTCAACATCAACCTTTAATTCGCTACAGGCTTCGATCTTTGTTCGCATGCTGGATTAGTTGCATGAAATCTGTTTCAAACAGATCATCAATCAAGACTTGCCCCCCCCCCCCCCCCCCCCCCCTCCAAATTACATGTAACATGACAGAATAAACATAAAGAACGAGTGCCCGCATGCGAGGGGGGGTGGGTGTCCAATCCGCAAGTGTCATGCATGTGTCGACTGGGCGCTCACTATAGGCAATGAGATTTAAGCCCGACTTGGCAATCGCTTCTCTTGTCTACCAGGCTGCGCGCAAAACGCGTGTGCTTTTAAGTCACTACGGTCAAGTTTTTTTCAAGTCCTTTTTCAAAGTATCCAGCAAGCGTGTATCGTATTGCCTTCATTACTAAGAGAGACTTTACAAGAATTTTATATCACAGGGTATATCCTCGATTTACATCCTTCCATACTCAGCCGGACTTTTCCACTTCCCATACATGATGCAAATCAAAGCTAGAGGCGTTTTTTTTTTTTTTTTTTATTTCTACACAGTTTCCAAAACTGTTATAAAAGCGTTTGTAGATACGTGTCCCATGTCAAAAAAAACTGGTTGTGAGAGAGAACACGTGTCTCATTAGCTTCGCTTTGTCAAACATATTTTAAACATATCATCATCTTGCATTTTCTAATCCTTTTTACGTTTTTTTTAGGTTTCGGTCCAAGTGTCTCAGCAACGAATACATCACCCACCAAGCGACCCTTAAGCCCCGATCATCCGAATCCGGCTTTACCTATAACAGAGGTAAGTAGCACAAAATCCAATAAGAAAATTTTATATAACATTCAGCAAAACCATGGACGCTCAAGATGCTTTTTTCGTGGATGTAGATGTAATGCAATCGTTATTGTTGTTGTAAACGAGATGCCATAAAACTAGTATATGCTATACTTGAAAGTTAGAAACTAATAAAACCCTCTTGTTTTTCCCAATAAATGGCTTTGGAGTTACGAAGCATTGGTGGCACGCATAAAAATTGACATCCCACAGATACCAAACATTTATCACTGCTTTATGCAAATGCAGCAAATCTTTGAAAAAATTTGCGATATTTTTGAAATCTCCCTTCAGTGGAGACACTGAGACCTCCCAATTTTACGAAACAGCTCACGGTGCTTGTAAGGAAGATATCGTCTGTTCTGGAAATGTCGATGTTAAAAATGGATCGTTCCTTAGTCGAACAACTGTTGGTAAAGTCGTTGAAATTGTTTAAAAAATTGAAGAAGATCAAAGATAGGCCAAAAAGAGGCCTTGATCTATTCATAAAAACTGAATACAAAAACCCTTTGAATTTTGGATACTACATGAATTAATAGAAAAAAATGTACTTTTCACCAATTCACTATGTCGGGCAAAGCTCAGATCGTTGCCAAATAAAGCAATCGTTTGCATCTGACATCAAAAGGTCTAGTATTGTATTTGATTCAATCCTCCGCTGTGAATGACTGATGCGGTTAAGGCACATATGATTTATTAGACACTTTGCTAGTTTCTTGATGGAGAGTTCGGTTTATCATAAACCAACATGAACTTAAAATTCAAATTCCAAGTAATGGCTTCCAGGTCAGCACTTATCAGAAGTCGAGCATAAGAAGATGATATTCGGAAGCATTACTTTTTTCATTTTCTATAAAAAATGATGAAATTGATTGTATCGACAGGTTGAGGATGCCATTAATTTTCAAAAAAACGAAACTATTACTGATTTTTCTATTAAAAGATTTCGAGGAGATTAAACTCCGCGGACTTGTCCCTCAACGTTCATTACACAAGTATTAAAAATCTTATCGAGCTATGTCAACAGTCGAAGAAAAGAAGGAACATTTCAACACATTTCTCATTTTCACTAAAACTCGAAGGGGATCACTTGCTGTATATTAATTGATCAATATTCGCCCTTAAAGAATAAGCGGAAAAATCCCATTTTGGGTAGGGATTTTCATGAAATTGATGCGCACCACGATATGGAATGAAAACTAGCATAACTAGTGGAGTAAAAAAGTTTAGTTTAAGGAATGTAAGCTCCGGTCATATTTTATACAAATTTAAAAAATTGATTACCAATGCAATAAAACAAAGATTTAGTGAAATCGTGTTATTAGAAAAATATAAAAGAAAGAAATAAAGGCAAAATGATTCTATTGCATAATATTAGATGCGCGATTAAATTAATAAAAATACAAACAATGCCTGTCGTCCCTCACTAGCTACGTGTTTTTGTCATCCCTCTGGCGAAATATGAATGCCCAGTGTCCTCCTCTCAATATGTGAACAAGAGACATCATTCGACACAAGCCATTCTTTCTACCAATTTTGCTCTTTTTTGAAATTGGCCAAGTCTTTGCCTAGATGAAAAAAGCGCCATCAATCAGAACAATGAATATTCAAAGAGGAGCACACCGATTGTAGGAAAAAACCTTAACCCACAGGTTAAAGGCGTCCCGGACGATCGATTCATATTTTTCATAATGGCACGGAGCTTTAGCTTGCTGTGATACGAGTTGTCTTCGTCTCTTCTTTGAGCGATGCTTCGTTCAAATTGATCAATTGTTGTCGGTAGCGGTGTCCGCTGAACGTTTCGCCGGATTTCAGCAACTTATACAGGCACAGATTTTTCTTTCTGAGTTTATCAAGAGGAAAGCATCGTCTTCTTTTCCAAGCGATTATTATGTTATGTCATCCATATTCATAATTCGTCAAATAAAAGCCGCGATACTTTACATTTGAAATGCCCGAAACAGATTCCTTTCTTATCGGCACTAGCAATACGGCGCAGAAGTTTTTTCGATTTTATGCAGTAAAAGCAAACTTTCAAAAGTGAATTTTCGACTCCTGATCTGTGTCTCAGACAAGATTCATTTGAATTCTTCTCGTCGCATGTAGACATTTGGAAACACCTGAGCGAATTTTGTGCAATGCCTTCACAAGTAAATTTTGGGTTTGGGAATCTATTCTAGGCGACGACGTCAGATTTAAAATTTTTAAACTTAATGTCCGCAGAGCAATAAAAAAAAATGAGTCATAAATTAAAAATTAAAATAAAAATACTTTGAAAATTCTAAGCGTGTTCGAAATGGGATAAATCTTAGATTAGAGTAAGATTTTAAAATTACCTTACATACTTTGGAATAAAATTTTAAGAAATCTTAAGCATTTATTTTGCCCATAACTCGGCTGAAAGGCTTTCTTCCATTTCACTTATTCATAACTTGATACGAAAATTACCTTACGATGGAAAACTTGCCTTGCTTCATGTGCCTATGATTGTGTCTCATAGAATTTTATTTTGCATTTTTTTTTTTCCTTTTTTGCTTTCAGTCACCCAGTCCTGCTATGAATCGCATGGGATGGGCTTTGCGAACATTACTTGTTGCTGATAATTCAAGTTGCCTAAAGGATAGAAAAGTAAGTATTCATGAATGTATCTACGTGTATGTGTGTGCACGTATATGCATGCATGTGTGTGTGTGTGTGCATACATTTTTGTGTTGTTGTGATTTATATACAGTTTGAGTGTAACAAATGTTATACTCCATTAAATGTTTATTTAAACGTGCCGTAGAAACATGAAACAACTCTTATCCGTTTACGGAAACAGTAATTGTTTCCACATCAACAGAATGATATTAAAAAAAAAAAAAAAAAAAATTTTCTTTCTTCAACATTTAAACGAGTATTGCTTGTGGTTTAAATTTGAAATCCACTGACATATATGAAAAGAATTTCAATTTTAAACGAATGTACTTTTCTTTCCGTTGATATCGTACGGTCGTAAAAATTGCGAGATACATATGTGAATTTTTTCTTTTCCTTCACTTTTGTAACAGGTTTCCGGTAAACTTATACGCAAATGTGCGCCCGGCACAGAGTTTGTAGATTGGCTCGTAAATCTATCACCCATTGTGCATACAAGAGCCCAAGCGGCGGGCATGTGGCAGGCTTTACTCGAGGAAGGCATATTATCACATGGTAAGTTCGTTTGCTTTTATTACTTTTAACTTCATTATTGCCATTAATTTACGCGTTAAAATATTTCTACAAACGGTTTTATGTGCATTCCCCCCATATGCATTATGCTAAACTTAAGGGGTATAAAAAATCTTTTTCTTTCGTTTTGTAACATTTAAAAGAAAGATGAGACAGATGATTTTCCATTCAGGTCGAAACTTGTCGACTTTCACTAATTAATTTTCATTGTGCCGCTGAAAATGTATTTCGCAGATATATTCCAAAAATATCGCATGAGAGAGCAGAAATAGTGAATGCCTAAGAAAAGTATAAAATTAATAAAATTGGCTCGAGCGAATAGCTACAACATCCTCTTCCTGTTCGCAATTCGCCAATTCATACCTTTTCACGCGAACTTCAATTTTTCGCTCCGATTATAAATTTTAATTAAGGTTAATGCTACACTTGCCCAGACTTTTTTTAAAAATCAATAATCTTTGCTAAATCGCTCACTGTTGAATCAATAAAGTTTCGAAACAATTCTCATGCGATAATGTAGAAAATGTAAAGGTAAATCGTGGGCCCTATAGTCTTTAAGCAACTTTTTCATATCATCGGATTAAAGCTTCGGCTTAACGCGAAGGTAATACAAATGGTAATTAGATATGTCCGTTATTCTGCCTATATACTGGCCTTACTACCGGCAAGTTCACATCAGAAGCTTATACGAAACTCGTCCATGCTCTGCTTCTTTATAAAGCGGCCACTTTGAAACATTCCCCAAGGTGAAAAACGAAAATATTTTTCTTTAAAGTACTAAGTATTTAAGAGTCGTAGTAATAAAATAAAGTTTAAATGATAAGCATTTTAAGATTCGCCTTAAACTAAACTCACTTTTGCAATTTTTATTTGTTAATTTTTTTTTATTTTTTTGTTTTTTTGCTGTTCATTTCATTATTTCTTACAAGATATAATTGTTTTACCATAATATACCCATAATCTCATTTTCCTTATAACCGATTGTTTATTTGATTTCACTCAGTTAACAAGGAACAACCATTTAAGGATAAATGTTTTTTGTATCGATTTCGCGTCGATGAAGACGGCACCGCTGGTACACCATCAACTGAAGACATAAATGCAGCCAACGAGCAGATACGTGAATCCTTAAGTGCTCTATTCCAACGCGGCCCAGATGCTACGTTACGCATGATTTTACGTAAACCGTAAGTTAAAAGAAAATCAATTTAAAAATATGTTTAGATTTAAATGCCAGGCGTTAAGTGAAAAAATCAATCAACCATTTCATCGCTTCGCTGGAAAAATTCAATTTTTTTCCTTTTATATATAAAATCTTAAAAGGAATCCGTTTGTAGCATTTCCTTGCATTGCATTATTGGAAAATCCTTTTCCGTTTGACTGTCAATGTCAAATGAAAAACTTTTCCTTTTCTTTTTCTTTTTATTAAGGCTACTCATGAGGACGTTTTGAATGAGCAGACGAGAACCCTTCATCTTAATTAAGAAAGCAAAGTATTAGTGAAGTACAAGCTCTTACATTTTATCAGTTTATTCATCAGTAGATCAGATTAATGGTCTTCTTAAACGGGGTTCGCCTTCAACTACCTCACGACCTTTGTTAAATCATTTCTATTAATTAGAAGCCTGTGCTCCTGATCAATATTAATTCATTTAAGTTCCTTTTGTTTTCCATTCTGAAAATTGCTTGAATGAAAAGAGAAAACGCTGCCATTACCACCTACCCAACTGGGCAGATATCTCGAAATTTATGCCAGCTATTCCTAATAGCCATACCAATCTATTAAAAAATATACACAGCGATATACACAGCGATATAGTTTTGCAAAAATATAGTCTCATTACGTTTTTTGCACGGTAGTATCGCAGAGTGACTCTGGTTTCATTTCAGGCAACTGATCTTCTCTATGTATACTACCCTCCGCTATGAACAACATAGTTAATTGCTATAGTCTCGCCAGACGGCTATCATTCCACATTTCACTGCTTTTATTACCCTAAACCTACGGCTAACTATTAGCAATAAATTTATTTGAATGCTTTGAATAGTCTCTCTGCCCTTAATGTGTGAATACCCTTAATGTTGTGTTGTTTAAAAGTTATGATTTCTCATTGCAAAACAAATGATTTTGCCTTTCTTTCTTTCTTTTCAGCTCCCATGAGCGTACAACCGAAGAGCTTGAATTAGTGTTTGAAGAGCTTTTGCATATCGCGGCCCTGTCACATTTATCAACCAGCATCAAACGTGAATTGTCTTCAATAATTGTATTTGAATCACATGCTCAAGCGGGAACCATATGTAAGTGATGAATGTAAATGTAACAACATCAGATATTTGCAGTCAATTAAACCAAATCCTACGGCCCTTATTTACATAATTAACAATTTCTTATAAAAAAATATATTCTGTTAGATAATAAATTTCAAATTTTACTTTAAAGAACATTCGCTTTAATTTCATTGCTGAAAAACAAATAAAAAATCGCAAGAGAATTGTGCAAAAGTGGCAAAGAGAATGCTTTATATGGGATGAATAAAAAAAAACAAAAATAAATAAAAAGACAATAAAACTCTTAATAAAACTTAATGATATTGATTGAAATTCCATTTACGTGCCATTTTTTTCCTTTTTTCCCATTTATTTTCCAACACCTTTAGTATTTAGTCAAGGTGACGAAGGACGTTCATGGTACATAATACTCAAAGGATCTGTGGATGTTGTTATACATGGCAAAGGTACGGTGGCCACACTCAAGAGCGGTGATGATTTCGGTAAACTGGCTTTAATTAATGATGCACCCAGGTAAGCCTGCAAACAAATGTTACTCTTGAGCTATTTTTTTCATCAAAATGCGTATAATTAAATAAACGTTAAATATGCAGCATTAACCTTAGAAAAGTTTTATGAAATGAATGAATTGAGGAAATAAAAGTATCTTTTAATTCATTTTTCGCTGGGATGGTAGTTTTGATAGCTAAATCTTTCTAAGGACCAACTATTACTACAAATCTTTTATCCGCGATTTCTTATTTAAGCTATTAATCAGATACCGTTCTCATCTGTTCGCTGATTAAGTGTTACGGATACATAAACAAGACGATGATTTATTAAAAAAAATTATTCTGAATGGCGAGGTTGATTTTCATTTGCCTTGGTATGTAAAAGTACAATAGAAAGAGACGAACAACTTGTCCAACAACGACTGATGACGAGCGGTTTTTGCATCAGCGGTGTAATAAGACATATTGCTATCACAATGCTCCTGATTCAATGACAAGGGTTTTATCGAACGAACCATCTTGATTGCTTTCTTCTAGAGTAGGTGCTATAGATGTGCATGACGTTTGCTTTCAGACTCAAGACATCAACCTTTTGGTACCTAATCGATTTTAAATGACACCTCTTATTGAAAGACCGACTCTTCTAACACAAAAACACTATTGTTTTTAGAAAGTGCCATCTCTCAAGCAAAATCTGTCAAAACTTCATTTCAATCGATTCCACGGCCAAACATTCGCCGCCAAGACGCCTAAGTGGCGGACCATCTCTGCTTAGTAAGCAAAGTGCGAACCGAAATGGGCTTTCAACTTTTAGCTATAACCTAGTTCAACTGATCACCAACAAGAATAGATAACAGAATGTTCAAGTGCTAAATATTCTTCGACTTTATGACAGGATCAATCACGCCAAAGTCAATCAAATTATAGGTCCCATTACGTTGTTTCCACAATCTTATCAATAGAATCATTGCTATTAAAGTTTGTTCTATGGCGATATATATTAAATATTCGAAAGCGTGTTTACACTCGCTGTAAAACATTTACGTTTGCTTTAGATAGTGAGCAATCAGTGTTAAATATGTCATTCAGACGCTTATGAATGAGAGATACGTTTACCATTATTCGTTCGCTTCATTTTCCTTCGATCATTTGTTTACGAGTTTCAAAAGTTTGTTTTCTTTTGCTTGTTCCTAAGCAATGAAAAAATTCGAAAGTACGCAAGGTATAGTAGCTAATACCATAACGTGATGCATAAGTCTTTTCAATGGCTAAGTGCCATCCTTAGGCTTTACCCCTCACCGGAGTCTAGTTTTTGTGCACTTCAAATAGATACTCAATTATGCGAAAAATTTCGTTTGCATACATAGATAAGGCCAGTCCAACTAAAAGCACAAAGCTCGTTTCAATTGCCAAACATTAAAGAAAAAAAAGAATTCTTAGTTATGGCTTTCATTTTCCAGCAAACTAATCAAAAATTCACTCCAAGCACAGTTCAAATTGATCAACTAATATCCTCTTAATAAAAAACGTTATACGATTTCGCTATTTACTCGCTTACTTAATTACTTTTTTTTATTTTAAAATCTCATAACAGCATTCCTTACACATATCGCCATATATGTATAAGAGTTATATTCGACCATATTACCAATGCATGCCATATATCAGAAAGTATTATAAAAAAAAATAAAAAAAAGTTTCCAACAAAAAAGATTTAATATATTCATCCTACTTATGACTCCAGCAGACAGTTTCATATTAACGGCAACAATATAATTTTACAGCTCTTACCCAAAAGTATGCTGCAGGATTTTGTTTTACTCTACTGCCAAAACCAGGCAACAAACTTTATAAATTTTATGGTCAAAAGATAATAAACAAATTGGCAGCTTAAAGTAGGTAATAAAAAAAGTTTTTGTGTTTCGCACAATATGAATATTTTACGGAGGATCCGGTCAATGGATGCATTAAAAATTTATATAAAAATATTGCTCGCAAATATAGTCGGAAAATTCATTAATATATATTAGGGGGAAGCAAAAATGTTGCGTTTTTTTATCCATTCCCGCGTGATGTTCAAATATTGATTTGATTTTTTACATTTCATAAATTTTTATTTATTTTTTCAATATATATGTATAACAGTGGGTGGACTAAAGCAACGATTTCTTAGTCTCTGATGAGACTAGACGGCTGCCTACAAAACATTTAAGCGCAATATTGATTAAAAAAATGCAAATAAAAATTTATATACTTTTTCCTTTTCCTATTACCTGCAAAATATATGAAAAAATAACTTGAGTACGAATATTTGGCACTCTTCACCCAATATTCAAATTGCTTGGGGCTGTATAATAAAAAACAAAAAAAACGGAAATTTTTTTTACAAAAAGCATATTAAAATGCCTTCAAGTCGTGAGAGATATATGCACAAGCAGTCAATCACGAGCTGTTAAAACCTTTCAGTATTTATTTACTCCCCTATCCATAGCGTGCTGTTAAACCTTCAAAGGTATAATTGTCCTTTTCCTGTATATGCTTCAGCAAACCAGAACATTGCAAATTGCTTTGCACGCCAGCAAAGAGAGGCTCGATGCAAATGCATATAAGCAGAATTACTCAGCCAACAGATATAAATGAAGAGACCTGGCAGACGTGTATGCGTATTTTGTTATTTCATTTCGGTATTTTTTTTGTTTTTTTTTTTTTGTCAATAAAAACAAAACATTGAATTGAAAAATATCACTACAAAAAAAAAAAAGGCAAAACATTTCAATTAACTAAATGAATAAAATTGAAATAACATAAAGCACAGAAAAACAAATGAAAGCTTTATAGAGCTCAGAGGAATAAGATGTCGAATCGTATATGTGGTGGCAATCGTACATGTGTAAAAGCAATAAAGTCCGAGAGAAAAGAATTAGGTTCAAATTACCAACCATCGCTGGGGGTATGTGGGATGTGTCTCGTTCACTTTGAAAGTCTGGTGATGCGTCTTACAAAGCTTATACTTCAAAAGTGACTACAAATCAGTTGAACCAAGAGACCAGTTTCCAAATTAGTTGAACCAAGGCCAGTTTCCAAATTGCTTGTGCGGCCAGAAAGAAAAAGTTGTTTTAATAAAAACCGGACAGTGATCGAAAAAATGACCCGATCCAACTACTTTTCAATAGCGTTTGTCCTTGAAATTATTGAAAAAGAAAAAAAACAAAATTAAGAAAGTTACAACTACTATGGCTCGCATTTTGAATGCCCACCGGTTTTAGTATTAAAAATTGTAAGTAAGAAGTCGTCTGTAACAGACGACAACTGAGGAAGTAAACTTGCAGTGGTCCATTTAGCCTGAGAAAAAAATCACTCTTTTTCCATTCAATGATTAGCCTCTTTACACCGGTAACTGCCATTAACGAAATTTCCGACGTTTTGGTTGACTTCAGCTGAACCCCACAAAGATGAACGCCTTATAAATTCAACCTTGCCGTCAGCAATAATACGTCGAGTTATAGTTTGCATGCAACTTTTTCCCTTCACTTCACAGTGTGGCGTAGACAAACTTCAGTACCTCCTCCGGTACGGAGCAAAACCGATTTTTACTCGCCTATGAAATAAAAGTTGACATGTAAAAATTCGTCCCTCAAAGACTCTTGGGAGTAATTCTTTTGTTTATAGATTATTCAATAGGCTTTAAATATTTTCGACTTGTTGCTAGCTAAACTCACAATGACATCCCAAATTCTTATTACAATGTATCTTCTACACGAATCTTCATTCGTGCGTTGAAGCTTTCACTTTTACAGTATTTTGTGAACCTCTTTTGTTCGTTGTCTTTACTGACCAAATTAAGGCGAAACTAGTGTTCAAGTATTTTCACGGATACACCTTAAACGTCCGCAATAATTTATCATTTTTAGCCATACTTTCCTTTCCAGCATTAAACGGAAAAATCAAATTTCTATCGAATGGTTTTTTCTTTTACTCAGAACTTTAGAAAATGATGATGTCTTCTCTACATCAGAACCTTGTTCTTTTGTTTTTTTTTTTTTTGGACATTTTTTTCAGTACAAGTTTAATAATTATATTTTTTGAAAATGATACGAAATTAAATTGTGTATGTAACAATTGAATTGAATTGAATCAAATTCTTTGGAAAGAATTTATTTAAATTTTTTCCGTACATTTTACTTTCTTTCTTTTTCCGTTTATATTCATCCTTTTCATTATCTACCTGTAAGAGCTGCCACAATTGTATTAAAGGAAAATAACTGTCATCTGTTGCGTGTGGATAAAGAACATTTTAATCGTATATTACGTGATGTGGAAGCAAATACTTTAAGATTACAAGAGCACGGTAAAGATGTTTTAGTGTTGGAACGTGTGGCCAAACAAAGAGGACAACATTCTGCTTTCAAGTAAATTTCTTTTTATTGAAAATATTTTTTTTTTTTTTATTATTATTATCATGATTGCTTTTTAACAACCTTCTTTCGTTTTTTTTTTTTTTTTTTTTTTTTGCAGATACACTGTCATGTCGGGTACTCCCGCTAAAATGCTTGAACATTTACTTGAAACTAGATTGGGCAACCAAGTCGGTGGTGTTGATCCATTCTTAGATGATTTCCTATTAACGCACATAGTATTTATGCCAGTGGTTCAATTGGTCGATGAATTAGCCAATTAATATCCTTTTTTTTACAAACTCAAAACCCAATTTAAGCCATAAGGAAAATATTACCAAATGTATGCTTTGAAGGATGTAAAATGTTTACAGACATTTTTAGATCTGGGAGTTAAAACAAACGTAATATTTCTATTTAGTAATAGGCGTCAGCGATTTTGCTTACGGTCTATACATTCTTGATCAACAAAAGCTTCTCACACGATCATATCCATCTATACCACTAATTTGCTCAGGTATCACTTCCAGCTCCTAATAGCCGTTTGTCGCCCACCAACATATGACATATATATTCCGAGGTTACAGGACAATAACTCCCCCAACGATGCGTCGCTGATGCTAATTACCGAACACTATTTGAATATTTTTCTAAATCACTCACCGACTTAGTCAATTGAATCACATCTGTCCGTGCGTCGCTGCACTTGTTTCACTTTGAAGGCTGGAACTCATACAGCCGACAAATCGTATATAGGAGTCAAGTTCTTAGCTAACATCTGGAGATTTATTTTGAAAATGGTTTTGATAACCAAACATGTCCACAATCATGAGACGAGCTTCTTAACCTGTATGCCACAAGTATTACTCCAATTACCAGGAAATTATTTCAGATGGTGCCTATAAAAAAAAGATTCGCTATTAAACAAATATAAATTTGAAATCTCTTAAACATAAATTAAAAGATAGTGGTTCCGAATGTTTTGATTTAAAGGGTAATTTTTAATTTCCTTTGTTTTTAAGGTTTTTCTCACCATAAACGTTCGCTAACCTCGGCTTTCAAATACTTCTTAGAAACATAGGAGAGGGAAAACTTTGCATTTCATGGATATCGAAAATTTCGACTACCTCATGATCAACTTTCTTAGACGATTTTCATATTTCGTCATCTGCTTTTTCGAACATCTATAGACAGATAGAGATCGTAAACCTTCTTGATGAGTTTGGCTCATTATTTCGTCCGTACGCCCTTTTTTTGAAGTCCCATTGTCATCAATAAAATCTTAAGAATTGAAAGCAAGGAATAGCAAGAGATGTTAAAGTGAGAGACCATAGTTCCAAAATGTGGGCGATCCTAAGCCAACCTTATATATTGATTTGTGCGATTGATTTGGAAGTGATTATGGCTGTTTTTATAAATCTCTTCAAATGGAAGAGAATTGCTTCAATTTCTGCTGCATACAAGCACACGCTATGTATATGTGGTTTCTTTGTATTTCCGCGTAATGGTTATCACTTACGTTGCTCTTGCTTACTTATAAGGATGAGTTGCACACATAAGCCTTAATGAACAGCTTATTTTACGAAAAACTACTTAAGTTAAGCTCTAACAATGTGAGACTTGAACAGATGCTACATATGCCAAAACATTTACTAAAGTATATAACAAAAGTATCTTTCATTGGATGTTAATACACTTTGGAACTCTTAATATCTTCCAATAGATTTTTACTCCAGGCATGCAAAGCGAAAATATAGCAAAAAAAAAAAAAAAAAAAAATTTATTTAGTTCAGTTGTTCCGTGAAATTACCTTTTATCGTGAAAGCTCTTAACTGTACCTTCGCACATGAACATTCCATTATAAAGGCACGTAATACACAGATGGTGGTTTAATATAATACATCACGTTTTGCCGCAAACAACATGATATTCCCTTCGATGCAGTTGCAACTAAATGAAAAGTTTATTTCGTAGGTTTTCTATTTTCCTCTCCTAGTTCAGTACATTATCAAGCTACCATGGGAGTTACAAATTTCACAAAATTTATATACTCTTTTTCTCTATCTTTATCTCTCTCTTTCTTTCATATTGTATATTCATATAACAGTTTAAGGTTATCTAAAGTCTGTTGTGGTAAGAAAAGAAATTAATCTCTAAACATGAAAATGACATTTGACGTGTGGAAAGTCGCGAAATGTGTTTAAGACACCCTTACAAAAGGTGGGTTTTAGAAGCGTGAAGAACTTTTCTCGCAATATCTAAAAAAGTTATTTCACGTAACCTATAAAATCTCTAACATCATGCTTACAATCTTATTTTAATCGATTTTAGTTGATCCCGATCTTAATCATATCAATACTGTATTATTGTACGCTCAGTGATGAGCACACAGTACCATTTTCTCTCTTTGCTAATGCGGATGGAGCGATGGTCGGACAGACGAAGAGACGAACTGACGTGTTTACAGACAGTTGAATGGAGGGAGGGACGGACGGTCGAAGGGTCGAACAGGACAGATGAACACACCTGCAGGCACACAAGCCGACAGATGGACAGAAGGGGGGGACAAAACGCCGAGCTGACTGGTAGACTGACGGACCTACTGTTCGATGAGCCAGACAACCGAAAGCATGGATAGGTACAGCCACGAACAGAGCAAGCAAGCGGGCGGACGGGCACATCGTGACCCATAACACTTTACGACTCTAGCACTGACCAACTTTGTGGGTTTGCGAGTAAGCTGTAGTCCAAAGAGTCGGTAGTTGAGTGGCCTTTAATCACGAGCCCTATTCAGAATTGTATCGTGAAGTAAGTCGAAAACTGAGTCATTAATTGGCCAACGGAGATGACGGTTGTGAAAGTGAAACTCCTCAACTTAAAGCATATGTCGTTGTTTTTCTCAGTGCATAGCAATAATTATTCTATCCTTTCATTCGATAAGTTCATACGAACTTATAACAAATCTACTTTAGATAAGCAAAACATAGAATTTGCGTTCTGCGACAAAGTTTAAACGTTTTCTTAAAAGAGGGTTTTATTAATTATGAACGAATGAGTTGAACTGCTCTTATCACCCCGAGAATTCAAGCAGCAGACCGGCGTTTATATTTATATGAAATCTCTGGCGCCTATTTACAAATGTTGTAAATATAATGACAAAATTCGTATAACGAACATCAACGATGCGAACAGAAAAAACGCTGTTGTCCGCCGCCTTCATATACGAAGTGTTTTATAAAACGAATTGCATAGTAATTCAAGCCTCTTGGCATGAATGCTCTCTTGATATAGATAAGAAAGCTTTTATGCTATAATACTGTAATGAAAAGATCAAATTGAAAAACTTATCCTCTTTGGATTTACGTGAGTAACGGAGTGAAATTTCAATTCGAATTCTTAAATAGTTTCGATGTATTTGAGGTAAACTTGTAAGCATTCTTGAATAAAAAAGAGGACAGAGGAAAGTATTCCCGTTACATACATGGATAATATTTTTCATTTCAACATTTACACACACCCACACACACACACCCACACACCCATCCGTCCCATTGGTTGTGGCAAAAGTCTCAGATTAGAGAATAAAAATCAACACTCACAGCTATTACTTGATGAAGTTTATAGTGGCAGTGGATATGTACATGTGCAAGAGTAAGTACATGTACTAACTAACATCTCCGACTAACCACACTGTAACTAAAAAATAATGCCACAATTATCCAAAAAGAAAGCAGGCCAAGTATCATAATACACTCCAGCCCACTTTACACACTCTTCAGTGTGTATTTATATGTAATTGCAAGCATAAAATTCTTACATGCACATATACACATATACATATGCGTTTTAGGCATATAAAAGGAATAAAGCAAAAAAAAGGATATGCATTTAATGTTCGCCATCAAATAAAATTTACATACATCCGAACAACTTTTATAAAGGATTTTGTGCAAATGTGAATACATATGTGAATATGAATGTAAGGCAAAGCATTTGGCATTTGGCATTGCATACCTAACATATATGCAAACGTATGCTTACACGTTTATTGGATTGTAAGGTTTACACAAAAGTGAAAACTCATTAGTAATCCTTTCACACAGTGTAATCAATTTCAAAATATTTGCATTTCCTATAAAGAATATAAGAAATATAGTTTATCCTTAACCTTCTGTGCACTTTTCATTGTGATGTCAGCGATGGCGCACAAACACCCGAGGAACGTGAATACATAATGAATTTTAAGAAACGAGTCATACAATTTATGCAAAAATGGGTAATGGCGGTACGTCATGCTGCCTTCGATGAGCCGAGTGTCTGTGATTTTATTGAGGATTTGGCCGCCGAAGTTGAAGCGGATCCTGAACTGCACGAGGAGACCAGTATTATACATAATATATTAACGCAAATGTCACGCTATCAAGATGATCGTAATCAAAATACTGGACAAAAATGGAAATTACCACCCAATGGTCAACCAATTTGTCTATTTAGCGGTAATATGACGCCATCGAAAACAGTTATAAGGCCAGATGATGATAGTAAGTTTGCTTGAGCATTTCCAGCAAATATAACTAAATTTTTTTTACATCGTTTAACTTATTAGTTATATTTCGTGTCTATTGCGCTGACCACACTTATTGCACTCTACGTTTTCCTCTGCATACGACCGCGGAAATAATAAAAGCCTGTGCGGCCGATAAATTGCAATTGAATCGTGGTCCTGAAGATTTATGCTTGGTTGAAATCAAATCGAATGGTGAACGTTCAGTTTTCAAGGATAATGATGTTAGCATACCCACTGGCTTAAGTCTCAATGGACGTCTCTTTGTCTCGACCAAAGATCATTTAGATGCTTTGGTAAATCAATTAAAAATCTCAATGAAATTATTTCAATATTACGATTATCTTATTTCAATTAGACTCCTTTACCCGAACAAGAGGGAGCTACGGAAGCTCCAGAAGTGGATGTCGAAATTTTCAGTACCAAAGAGTTGGCCTATTATATAACAATTTTTGATTGGGATCTTTTCTGGGCAGTACACGAATACGAGCTATTGTATCATACATTTGGTCGACATCATTTCGGAAAAGTAAGTATTAAGAAAAAAATTTAGCAAAAGTGTAAAAAGTGCTTTTTAAATACATGCCGTTAGAAATCCGACAATGGTAAACTTGGCCACTTTTTCTTGGAATATCTTATACATCCCCTCACCTTAACTTCTTGTTAACTTTGCCCGATTCTTGGTCTTTCCTTTCGATGTCAAGTTTTAATTTTTAAACCAAAGATATTTAAGATTAAAGTTGAGCTCTCCTCAAGACAATAGCGATCGCATATTATATATTACATATATAAGGAGCTGCCAGTACACCGAATACTTTCGGGTTGGATTGTCGTTTTAGCTTTTCAATTAACTTCTAAAAAAGCGGTGCTTGTAAAATTAGACAAGAAAGCACCAATCAACCCGTTTCGGCATTGCCAAGGACAACTGCACAAACGGCTTAGTCTAGGGATAAGGGGTCTAACAAATGTATAGGCAAACGAATGGAGGAAGATACGGTTCGCAAATACACTGGTCTATTCATCAATAGTTTGAGAATTGAACGAAACGATGATTAATAACGAATGTACGGATAGTCGAAACGATAGCTGAGCTACTGATGAAGAGACAGAACGAAAAATTAACAAAGGTACAAATGAAGAGGCAAACTTGTTGAAGGCCTCAGGTCAATGGACGGTATATAATAAAGACCGAGAGGTTACAGATTAGACCCGTAGACACACATTTGCTCAATCGATGATTACTTGTATACACAGCCGTGAAGAGTAGAGATAGAGTCATTTGATCGAAACGTTTACGACACGTAGACCGAAATTTCAGTACGAACTTTCTTGATTAGTCACAAATTCTCAATCCCTCTAAGTATGTCCGTCCGTCCGTCGGTGTCATTTCTGCGATAAGCATTCTCCTGCTCACAAAAAATTAAGATATCGCCTTAAAATTTGACAAAATTTATCGAAACGTGTACGACAGAAGGAAACTTCAATCTGAACATTCTTGGTTAGTCCCAAATTCTAAGTATGTCCGTCTGTCCACCGGTGTAATATCTGTAGTAAACATTCTCCTGCTCGCAAATATGAAGACCGTCGTAAAATATGGCAAAATTCATCGAAAAACGCGCGACACCGGGAAGGAAGCTTAAATGTGAATTTTATTGGTTAGGAGCAAATTCTCAATCGACCTAAGCATGTCCGTCTGTCCGCCGGTGTAATGTGTGCGGTAAGCGTTCTTCTGCTCGCAAAAATTAATATCGACTTAAAATTTGGAAAAACGTTTCATGTTTAACTTTTAGCATTGAAAGTGGACGTCCACATTACTGAATTTCCACTAATATTCTCTGAGTAATCCTACAGCGCCTGTACCAAGAAAGACTAAATCCATGACGTTAGATAGTATATTCAAATTTAGTTCTCTGCTTTTTACTTAAATTTTTTTCAAAATAAACGCCGTAAGTATGTAAGACTCAGTCACATCCAGTTATAACTGCCTTGTTGTGCATTGTTGTGTTGACTCCTGATGCGTGTAGCGATGTATGTCCAAAGTATTTGTAAGACAAACATGGCTTTGTTGCTTCTGTAATACACTTCCCTGCTGAGAAAGAGTTTTCTTTTAGATAAAACACTTGATTTATGTACGTATACAACAATGAAAAAAATTACACCAGCTAATAAAAACTTTAATAAAACTATAGATAAATTAAAAAAAAAAATTTTCAAAAAAAAAAAATTTTTATAAATTTTTTTAGCCAGGTTATCGCGTGGTAAGTTTATATAAATTAATCAAAGGAATGCTTCAATTCAATCGAAAAAGAACATTTTATAAAGTTTTCATTTTATCATAAATGTGTGCGTTAATCTTATAAGATTTCTTCTTCCATGTGAGTTAAGAGTTGAAAGCTATTTTTATGAAATTATTATCAAACAAAGTTCAAAATTCGTCTACTCGTTACTTGATTGATACTGATATTATGTTTTCTATTTTTATTCATATTAAAGTCAAACACACACATCTATGCATACATCCTATATCTATCATTCATAAAAAAAATTAATTTTAAATACATGAGAAAATTTTAGATTTTTTTTTATATATATAAATGTTCTCATCGATCGAAGTTGAAAAGATTATGGAATGTATGTTAACCGCCATAGATATTTATAGCTGCGCTCATCGAAGTTCAAAAGATTACGGAATGTATGTTGTACGCCATAGAATTTATTACGAAAAATAAATATACAAGTGCTGCGTAAAGTTGCCTTTATGCAAATTATTTTGCCAACTATGCCGAAATATAATGCTATAGGTCTTGCGCTTTGCATTTTAAATAGTCGAAAGTATTTATGCGAATTTAAATTTTTGGAAACATCATCATAGACCATGCGGAAGTAGAGATATATCAGCAATTATCAATCGATCAAACAATTTCAAAAAACCTATGAATGCCAACGAAAGTTGTGCACAATGAAAGTGATCGAAATTCTTGCTTCTGCTTAAAAAATGAAAAAATATATAAACAAATTGAAAATAACTTTTTTATCGATTGCCAAATTTAAAAACTGAATTATCATGTGGCGGACCTTACACCACTCAACAGTCATTCATATATCGACTTTGCGAAGCAAGATCACATGGGAAGTGGTGGAAAAAGTCATCCGATCCGCACAATTTTCAATAGCGTTCGTCCTTTGGTCATTTCGGCTAAATTTCATCAAAGTATGGCAAAAATTGCATCCTACAAGTTGAAGAAATATATTTACATCACGCAAAAAAATGTCGCCAGCTGTCCTCTTCAAATCTTACAATTCCTAGGTATCATCATTTCTATGTCCGTGTACCACTTGCTAGCAATGCTAGCTCCTACTGAGATAAATATCGATTCGATAACAGCTGATGAGGGTAAATTTGAAAAAATAAGACCAATAACTCGTTTCAATGACAATCGCTCAACACCAGTCCAACGGACACTCAAACTGTAACCGCCTTCATAAAATAAGACCTACTGATGTGGAACACTTGAATAAATTGTTTTTGCATGTGGCACCATCTGATCATGGACTCTCTCTCTCTCTCTAGACGAGCAAAGGGAGATAGAAGCTAAAACACAGAGAGCCATGAAGCCTGTTCCGTCAAAAGATATACAGATTAAGGGTGTAGGCCATGATGAAAACAACTGTAGTTCTAGAAATATATGTAAAATTCCAGGCTGCAAATGATTTTCACGGACTGAGTGCATCAAATGCAAGGTTGCTTTGTCTCACAATAAAAATCGCGATTGCGTTGCTGTACTTCATTCATACATAAAATCAAAATTTCTATAATAGTAAAGGATATAAATACATAACTGTTTATTTGCGTCCACAATAATTGTAGTAATAAACGCATATTGTTGCCATAAGTCTACATACCACTTCTTTCAAGATAAATACTTAATATTTCACGAAATTGTTTGACCGATTGAATCTAATCAATGACCAAAACAAATATATCTGTATTTTTCAATTCTTTTTGACAAAAAAAAAAAAACATTTATTTTATCGAAACTATTATGCCGTTTATGCCGAAGCAAGGAAAGTCATAAAGGAAGTTTTTTTTTGTTATATTTATTTCATGTTTTATAAATTGATGTAATATGTGTGTTCTAAACACTTTTATTCAATTTGATTGCTGTTGTTAAACATTTTGTATGTATGTATGTTTTTTAATTAAAAAAAATTTATTTGAAAGATTTTTTATTTTTCTTGATTTTGAATCTATTTTTTTATTATATCTTTTTTAACACTAGATCACCGCAAATTTGGATGTTTTTTTGAGACGTTTCAATGAACTTCAATATTGGATTGTTACGGAAATTGTAGTCACGCCCAGCATTAGTAAACGTGTCGCATTATTGCGTAAATTTATCAAATTGGCAGCCTAGTAAGTGTGAACGATAAACAAAATTTAAAACTTTTAAGCTTAAACCTAAGTAAATCCACATTCAATCAACATTGCATATATATATATATATATATATATATATGTATATAGTAAGATTTTCCCCCCTCCGTCTGTAACATTTAGAAATATCCATAAAAGACCACATAAAGTATCTTTCCTGACCACCACCGTGCCTGCCGGTATATCGTCCATGGAAAAAAATGATAATAAAAAGTGTAAATACTTTTGATCAGGACCAAATTTTGAATCAATTTAATCGCTTCCATGTGTCTGATGGGTTGCTATTGCAGTGTTCACGAGAATTAAGACAGAGCAAGTAAAAACATTATAGTCGAGCTAGGCCGACTTTTAAATACCTTACATCATATTGTCTAATACAATTCTTTGTTCGCCATAGAACACAAAAATTACATCCTGTTTTTATATTAGCTTAGTATTATGCCCAAGAAGTTCAAAAACTTATATCGAAACGAAGTGGGGAAAGTATAGAGAAAGAGAAACAGATAGGAGGTATTTATTCTAGCTACGACCACGTACAGTCGAGCCGCAATGATATTTGGGCCCTTGGTAGTCGCGACTCTTATTTACCCGATATACGCCAGTTGGGTGCAAAGCAAGACGAGCTCAGTCCCGATAAGTACCTGCAGCAAGCAAAAATCTCTCACTTATAGATTGAAGCATGTACTAATCGAATACTTCGCAAATATTTCTCAAGATCATTTGTGGGCTGATTGTGACGAAAATGTCAATTGTCCCCATCAACCATGAATGCTAGAAAGAATATAACCTTTCATTAAAAACACATCAGCCAAGGGTAACTACGACCAAGTTTGGGCAAACCACATCGAGACTTGAACCCACTAACTTCAACCTGATAGTAGTGGCTTTTATTCACCCAGCTATACGACAGCCTTGGGTACGAAACTAGAAGGAATCATCCTTGATATGTCCCTGCAGACTTTTCTCTACCCAGCTATATGGCAGGCTTGGCCCCGATATGTACCTGCCGAAGCTTTCAACTATAAATTCAACGAAGTCTTGATCGAATGCTTCACGTAAATATTTCGCAAATTTCCCTATTGTTCCCATCAAATATTAATCGTAGAAAGGACATAACTTTTTCAATTATTTTTCCTTGAAACATATTACACAAGGGTAACCACTATTCGTTCTATGGCGAACAGTTTGTTCTCTCACTTATATTTCATTTGAACTCTTTCATTTATTTTGGCTTGTAGTACTGAAGGAAAACTTTTTCGTTTTTCTTTCTTTTTTTTTTTTTTATTCAATTTTTTCATTTTCCTTTGTTTTTTGTTTTGTTTCTTTTTTTTTTTTTGCTTTTTGCTTTTTGCTTTTCTCTTTTCTCTAACTTTAGCTGCAAAGAATATCAAAACTTGAACGCGTTTTTCGCCGTTGTTATGGGATTATCGAACATGGCTGTATCGCGTTTACAACAAACGTGGGATAAAATACCATCAAAGTTTCGCAAACTTTATCAAGAGTTTGAAGCGCTAATTGACCCCAGTCGCAATCATCGTGCTTATCGCGTATTTGTGGGTAAATTACAGCCGCCATTAATACCGTTTATGCCGTTACTGCTTAAGGATATGACTTTTGCTCATGAAGGCAATAAAACAAGTTTAGATGGTTTAGTGAATTTCGAGAAAATGCATATGATGGCTCAAACCATGCGTACTCTACGATTTTGCCGTTCAAGGAGTTTAGGTAGGAGTTTTCAACACGAAATTAAATATTATTTAATAAAAAAAGTTTTCCTTTATTCATAATTAAAAATTTTGTATTTAGGATTGGAACCTCCGTCACCGAAAAGTGAAGGCGACGTACGTCCATACATAAGCTGTTTACGTGTTATTGATAATCAACGCGTACTCACAGCCATGTCCCAGAAAATTGAACCAACTCGCAAATTATAAATATAAATATAAGTAAAATTTAAATAAAAAAAAAAAAAAGTCAGTAATAATTTCCCATTCCAATTTTTAATTTTATAAAAATATTTGTAATCTTTTATTTTATTGTTTAGGAGCAAAAAAACAAAAATATATTTCATATATAAAATTCGAATAGAAAATAATTAAGATAATCGTAAATGTGGATCTAGAATTGTATGTAATGTATGTCTATTGAAGTTATACAGCTAAGAACTAAAAAAAATATTTTTTATATATATGTGATAAATAAATCGCTGTCTCTCTCTCTCTCTCTTCATTTCCTATATATTCGGTATTTAAATATACATTTTTTTAGAAAAGATATTCTCTTGATTATTAAATAGACTTTTTTTTATATTTATTTATATAAACACATTTTGTAGGCACATTTTTTTTTTTTAACTTTATAATTCACAATATATTAAATATTAAATATTTATTGCATTTCTGCTTATGAATTAAGAAATTTTTGTATTTATTTTTTTTTACTTCTGAAGCATTTCTTTTTTTTTTTTTTTTGCCTTTGGAAAATATAATCATTTTATCTTATACTGCTTTACAAACAAACAAACTTATTTTTTTTCTTTCGTACGGAACATGAAGACCAAAAAGTAAAAATAAACAATAGACACGCATTCCACGCAGTTAACATTAACTTGGAGAAGTTTTTTAAAGATTATGTAAATATTATTTTTATTTTTTATTTTTCAACTTCCACGTACACATTTTCTTTAAGCTTTAAAAAAATTGAAGTGTGCCCTAACAGCCAAAAGAGTAGAACAACTTTCAAAATATTCGTTAATTTACTTAAGCAATAGTGTATAGTCACAACATTTTTCTCAATCTTTCATTAAAAAAAACAGTGGCCCTTTCATTTGTTTTAGATCCATTCAGCCTGCACACAAGCAGACAAATAAAAGTTGATCAACCACAAGTTGGTCATCCATTTATCCCCCTTAGTCTGTGTTCATTCGCTTACTTGTCCATGCGCCCTTCTATCATTTTATTTATCTGTCTTGTCTTTCGCTTGTATTGTATAGTCCTTCCGTCCGCATTTTTACACATTTACTAGCCGTCCATTTGCTTGTACACCTGAATGTGCATATTGCTATCCATCTACCTGCCTTTTGCGCCAGTCTGTTTGTGTGTAATATATAAGGCGACCACCCGAGATTGCAAAGGTTGACAGACATCTCCTGCTGATAGCCGCATATCAAGTTAAAACATTCCGTGAGCAAACACATTTCCTTCAGGTACAGTGTTGCAACTTGCGATCAGATATTGATGCAATATGACTGCCAACACAGTAAGTGCATCCTGCAAGCTACGCCAAATATTATCCACCAGCCTGCTACCGCATGTATGCAATTTTTTTCTTATACCCTTGGAGGCTTATCCATTTCGTCAAAGCGTTTGCAACAAACGGAAGGCAGAGATATTCTGAGCTGAATATATCAATATCCAATACTGAATTGATCCTTGCATATCTGTTCGTCGGTCCATTTGTCTGCCAGCTCTTTATTGACCTTTCTTTTTCCTTTCTTTTTTTTAATATAATTGCGGTCAGAAGGAAGTGTGGAAAAGGAGAAAAAGATAGGGAGTGATCACAACGTAGTGAATATGTGCCAAATCGGCAAATGTTATGCTTTCATCAACTGAGCACTTCCTACTTCCACTTTGATCCCTTCCTGGGACCAAATATGCTCTACCACAATGAGAGTTGAACGTGCGAACGCTTGATAGCCTTCCTGTGTTAAACTATGAATCGGTACAAAATAATTGAGATATCGGTTTCAAATTTAATAAAAATGATAAAAACTCTTGCATGCAATAGGTCAAATCAGTCACAGGGCACGCCCATAGGTCACTATAAATTAAAGGCATCTCTACTCTTAAGAGCAACCAAGTTCGTTTTTGCTCATCGCTCCTAAACTAGGGCAGATACAGCATTACAAGTTTTCATGCATATGCCACAGATAAGGCAAGGCATCCGTAGGAAAATGGACAAAATTTCATTTTTGCCTCCCTAGATAAAGGGGATGAATGCAATCGAATGTTTTTTCTTATTTATTTTTTGATACCCTGCACCACTTTTGATGCATCGATCTATTAAGATTGAAGTGGCGTAAAGCATTTAATGGCCGGGCTGGGTACACTAAAATGTTTCTACTTGTTTCTTTTTTTTTTTTTAGAATACTTTTTTTATTATTTGATTTCTTCGCAAATAACACAACACAACTAATAGCAATAAATAAACGTTAGAGAGAACTTAAATGTTAACATTAAAATTTTTATTATATAATATATATATATATATATATATACATTAAGAAGAAAAAATACAAAAAAAAAAAAACCAATAAACAAATAAGTAATCAAAATAAAACAACACTGGTGAGGGACCTTGATAGTTATTAATAATAGAAAAAAGTCAAATGAAATTTTAAGAGAAATTTCAAAAAACAAAAACAACACGAAGGAGAGATAAAG